TGAGAATGGTAGGCATTAGAATCAGTTCCCAGCCAGACTACCTATACTGGATGTGACCACACCACGCCACAAAGAGGACCCTGACAGCCAATCATGAAGCATAAAAACCTAGAGTTCTCCATGCTAATGATATATCTAGATAGGCTCAGAGTATTTAGTTAATGAGCTTCCTTTCCTGGGCATTCCATCCTACAAAAGGTATTTAATTTCTGGTTCATCCTGAGTAAGACGTATGCATCCTCATCTGTCATGAATAAAACAGTCTGTACAAGCATGGACCATCTCCTTCATCAAGAATTGTGGCAGGGGTTGGGGGTGCATTGTGGGAGATCCTTTGTCGTAAAGAGCCATGCCTAGATTCTGGAGAAGGCCTCTCTTCCAGTCCCTCCATATTTTTGGCACTCATTCCGAACTTAGTCAAATTCTACCCCAGCCTGGGCTCAGCATGAGTAGTGGACCCATTCCCAACAGCAGCATCTGGGTACACAGGAGTTTAAGAACCATAGCATCTGTCCCAGATCTCTTGCCTAGAGGAATAGACTGGGACCCCTATCTTAGACTGCATTCTATCTTATCTAAGCAGCATTTCTGACACCCCAGCATCGAGGTGGAAACACAAACCAACAATGTATCACGACAAAATATAGGGAAATAAGGGAAGAACAAAGTCAAAAGCGTCTTCCCTGCTGGCTAGCTTTCTTAATGCTAAACAGTGCTCTATAGCTGCTGGGAGAGAATGGGCAATTAACTGTGAACCCTATGAACTAATACCAAAGACCAGGCAAGATATATTCACTGCTGTAATAATGCCAAAACCATTATACAGACAAGCAATATTCTTTGATTGGATTGAGGACTTGTTCTACAAGAGAAAATTCATGACATACTGTGAGCCTAACCAAAAACCCATAACTGGCGAAAACATAGGCCATAAGAGGCCATAAGAGGCCACCTACTACTGTTGTTTAGCTAAAGCTTCTCTTCACAGTACATATATGTGAATTCAGAGATGGTTGGCTGCTATAGTAAGGGACAGTTGAATGGATAGTCCTAAATGGGATATTTATACTTCTCCTTTAAGGCTCAGAGACTACTGAAGGAGAAAGTGATAGAAAGATGAGACAGATGATCGGGAAGTAGAAGACTACAGAATGCATCTTCTAGGCATGACCTGGCCATTGCAATCATGTACTCATAGCACCTTAGTTGCCTTCACTGGGTTGGCACAAGGCTAAATCTGTCAGCAGGCATGGATGGCTAGATTAGACAGGATTAGATAGGGAGCTAATGGAGCACTGTCCATCTCTGCTGAACTATTGGCCACTGATGGATTCTGGGGGAGAGCCACTGGTCAGCCTGCTAGGATCCATTGGATGTTCCATGCCCATGGTCACTCATGAGGCCCTAGTTAAATACAATGGGTTAGAAACCCCAAACAAAAGCACATGAATGTGGGAAAGCCATCTGTAGGGAGGAGGAGGTGATAAAAGATCAAGAGAGAGGAAGGGGACTGAGAGGGCAAGAATACTCAGAATGCAGTATGTACACGTATTGGATTGTCAAATGAATTTTACTAATTAAAAAGTACATATTTTAAAAGGGTGACAGAGACTAACAAAGAGCAACATTTCCCTAAATATGGCTACTACTCTACCTTACCTTGAATATGGAAAAACCTAATTATTCTCTTTCTGTATCAGTCTATAAATACATTTTGGGAATCTGCTATATACAAAGAGGGGAAAAGACATGAACGGACCCAAGAGATTAGCAATCAACAGTGCAGAGTAAGAAAGAATGTTTAGAATTCTGTCCATGTGGTTCAAAAGATAAACTCAGGAAGGAGATAGTGAGAAAGAAAATTAAGGAAAGATGAAACATACTGTTGTACATCCAAATCCAGGAACGTAGAGCAAACTTCATTTTTCTAACTTAATTGTTAATGGAGCATATTAATCAAATAACACATAAAAAAGGAGGAAGTTACCATGTCGTGGTGGCTCGTGCCTTTGATCCCAACAGGAGGCAGAGGAAGGCAGATCTCTGAGTTCAAGGCCTACAAAGTGAGTTCCAGGATAGCCAGGGGGTGCACAGAGAAAACCTGTCTCAAAACAAACAAACGAAAGAAAGGAAAGGGAAGGGGAGGGAAAGGGAAAGAGAAAGGAAAAGGAAAGAACCACAAATGTGGGATCTTAGAGATATTACTTGGTGGCCAGGGCTGCTCTGCAAACGTGGGACCATAGCTGGATCACCATGCCTTAACAAGTTAGACATTCTGGCAAATATGATTACTCCAGCTCCAATAGGATGCAGAAGCAGGGGCCTAAGACATAAGCCCCAGGTCAAAAAGAAGAACCTGAGCCAGAGAGACAGAAAGAAACTGATGGGAAAGGACACTGAAGCTCTCTTCTGGCTTCTGTGTGCTTGCACAGGCATGTATACCCACATGTGTACATATATGCACAGACCTGTACACAAAAGCACATATTAAAAACCAAAAATCCAACTATATGTTTCACAAGTCTTAGATGCAAAGAACACACCTTACACTGACTAGAACTGATTATTCAAACCAAGATAGCCCATATTGTAAAGAAATGATAAATGGTTATGAGGTAAATATATCTTAAAGTTAATTTAAAGAGATCATAATGTGTTCTTAGTTTGTTCAAGTTTTTATGTTTCCAGGCTTAAGTTTAAAATAAAACTAAAACATAACAGCAGGAACTCAGAACTAAACTATACATGTATAATCATATTAATAGAGTGTGATAATTTACTAGACATTTAAACAACCAATTATGTGTGAGAGTGAGCATATCTGTTTTAAGGAAAGTGCATTTTGGTGTCCTTTTTTTTCCTCTATCAGTGCTGCTCTGTATCTTGCCAGCATCTGTCTATTTATTTAAGAATTATTATTTTTACATTACCTGTATAAATGTTTTGCCTATGTGTATGAATGTACTGCAAAAATGCCTGGTATCCACAGAGACCAGAAGAGGGCACTCTAGACTCCCTGGAATTGGAGTTACGGATGTTGTAAACCACCATGTAGGTGCTGGAAAGTGAACCCAGTTCCTCCACCACCGTGTTCTAACCACTGAGCAACCTCTCCAGTCCAGTCTATTTATTAACTTCTCAGCTGTAATGGAGGGCAGAGGAGGAAAGAGAAGAATGACAGTCCCTCCTTCTGTTCCCAGAGACTTCTGCCCCTCCCCCACCCCATCTCTTCTGGAATGTTCTCTTGTTATTAATGAAAGAACTACAAATATGAGTCATACTCATGGGCTTATGGATGACATAACTAACGATTCTGAGAACATGTCTGGTTTCGAAAATGTACAACCACTCAGATTAGGGCAAATCAAAGGCAAGAGTGTAGAACAGAGTCTACAGTCCTGGGAAAGTATCTAGCCTTTATATAAAAGAGCAGGACACTGACTTAGAATATCTTAAAAACAAGTAGCAGAGATTCCATAAATGATGTTTGAGGCAAACAGAAAAAGCTCTGTCAATACATCAGTGAGGCCAGAATGAAGAACAAACTAAGGACAGAAGAGGAAATCACAAGCAAAAACAGCAATCTCTCCTTTTCTAACTACAAAGAGGGAGTTTCTAACTTCTTTGAATTTTCTGGAATGTCTAGACAAGTACTAATCCCTAAAGAGTTTAACCTTTTGTTAAAGTTGCACAAAATTCAGCATATTAATTCCATTGTTTACAGAGGTTCCTTCACACACAAAAAAAAATCTAGTTCTGCCTCTGATACCCAAGGACTTCTACAGTTGAAGAAGTGCTCTCCCCAAGTCAGGCCCTGGCGGAGGCCCTTGCTGGTTTCTAGACACACAGCAACAAGGATACCTTCCTCATCAAGGCAGCAGACAAAGGGGGGAATCCTGGGCTCGAGAGGCCTCGAGAGGCCATTTCTACTGCTCCAGGGGAAGAACTGTGGGCCCATAAAAAAAGACCTCTTCTGTAAGAATATACATTTACATAAAGGCTTCACCATAGTCGGGGCTATTATTCACTACTATCTGCTGATCCATTTTAATCACTCTACCTGAGAAAGCTGCCAGATGAAGGTAGGAAATATGCAGGAACTGGAGAGGACACAGACATAGGGAACTCCTTTTTCTTCATTGCTCTATTTCCTAACGCAACACAGCTCCTGCCCGTAACGATATCCAAAAGACTTCTTGTTTCCAAAGAATTTGGTCAGCAATGTCAAAAGGAACCAAATCATCAAAGTGGACTTGCAAACCAATCCCTTGTCCAGTGTGAGCACACTTCGTGCTGGTGAATCCACAGGTACAAGCAGAACCCCTGTCCTGCCTTCACAAATGGTCTGGGGAGAAGCATCATAATATGCTTTCCTAAGCAGAGTATGTTTCTGAGAATCCATGTGGTCTGTCTGACTGAAGGCAGGTGATTCAGAAATTACATCAAATTCAATACTGAACAAGGTGAAGTTTGCTTGGACTCTAACTACTATTTAATCATTTTGCCTAAATGGATGAGCCATTTTTCAAGGCTGTAAACTGTAGCAACTGCAACGTGTCTGGGTGAAATGTGAAGTGGCCATGTCCTAGCTTTTGGCAATAGAAGCAGCTTGTCAAGGGCCACAAAAAGTCAAGACAGATCGCTGTAAAGTGACAGCACATTCCAAATGAACTTGAAGGAATGAATAAGACAAGGCTTCATCCTAACATTTTTGTGAATGAAAAATGTCAGCATTTAAATAAAATGCATTTGTCAATATAACTTTTCAGCTAAAATGCATTCATCCATCAAGATTTTAAAGGATCCAAATAGCAAGACACTTCACTAGAGGTACTGAGGAGATCGTACCTGCTAAAAGCACCTGAATGCTACACTTAGCACACAGTAGGTACACAAGAACAAAACCAAATAGGAACCACTGTTTGTAGAGAGCAAGAGCAGGTTGGAGAAGCAAAGGGGAGGTCAGGTACCCTGAACCTTCTCTCCCTCTGTGTACTTACTGGGTCTCAGCCCCAAGCAGCATGTCCACCTTCTCATTGGCATGGTTGTTGAGGACTGTTAGGGTAAAGAGGTGAGTGGCAGAGCTCTGTCGTGAGTAAAGCATCGTGGAAGTGTTCTTCCCTGGAGAAGAATTAAGCTCTTCATTGTCACAAGATTCCACCAACAGCTGGTCCCTTAAGGAGTAATCATTGACGTTGTAGCTTTCTTCACTAAAAGACAGGGGGAGAATAGGTTAATTACTCAGCAGCCACGACTTTGACCACCACTGTCAGATTTCAAGTCACATTTCTGGAGAAGTGGCCAGGACATCCAGAGGAAGGGGAGAATGCCCTGTTTGATGACACAAATTGGAATCTGAATGTTATCTCCTGACTACCAATTAAGAGAAGCACCAACATTATGTATATAGCACACTAAAGTATGTCTCAGATAAATGAGCAATGTATTTTTGAAATCATAGGTCGTGTCTTACAAGGACTTAAAAATCAACACATGAAAGATGGGCACTTCTTGAGTACAAAACTATGAGAAATTTCTACTGAAGATTGAAGTATCTAGCAGGCAACACCATGAGACTCACACTGCCATATTAAAAATAAACAAAGGTTAGATAGTTGAAAGATGAAATATTGAATAATTAACTCAATGAAGAGCTTTATAGGCTTAATGTGCTGTTCTTCTGTAACTGGTATAATCAGTGAGACTGGCAAGCATCCTGATAATTGGTGTACCTCCCTGCTTTGCACACACCTCCACCACAAAATGAAGATGATGCTATTAAATGCTTGCCCATGCTCTGGGTCACCCAGGTTTCACCCCCTACTCACAGATGACCACAGCAAAGGACGCAAGTAGAACCCAGAGGCCTAATTATAGAAATCAAACTTCAGCAGATCCCACAAGTAGGCCTGCTTACTCTGACAAAGGGGCCAATCCATCCTCCCCAATACAGCCTTGTATTTCCGAAGCCACCAGGCTGTATCCTGCTATGTCCCTGTCTTTGCTTATCCCAGTCTCAGCGTTCTTCATTCCACTGTGTGAGGATGGCTGATTCCCTCAAGACAACTGGCTCTTGAGGGAATTAGCTCACCTGCTCCCATTGTGCCCTTCTGGGAGTGCTCTCCCTTATGAAATTCAGGAAAGTCTTCAGCCTCTTATTGGAACCTTCCCTCTACCTTGTAATCAAGTACGACGTTTCCTCTAACAGAATCTTGGATCTCTCTAGAGATGCCATAAACCCTGATGGCTCTGCTCACTTCTACAAAATGATGACTTTCTGCTTCCAAGAAGGCCTAGATTCTGGAGCTCACACTATTGGTCTCTGTTCCAATCACAAGATTCTACAGACTTCAGAGTCTCCCAATCCTGCCTTAGGATGCCCAAGCTTATTGCACCAATTATCAGGATGTGAGCAAGTCTCACTGATTATAATAGTTACAGAAGAGCAGCAAACAAAGCCTTTCATTGGATTAATTATTACGTTCTTCTTTACATTCCATGAGCAGCTCCTTCTCTTACTGTGGCCTCAGTGCTGTGACTTCTTCAATGGCCGCAGGTATGCTACCTTGGCCTTCTTCCTACTCTTATCATTACGATCAAATGCAGCCTCTCCTTCATTCCAACAGCAGTCTAGACACTCCGTGCGCTACCTGGCATCAACTCAAATCCTCATCCTCTAAACTTAATTAACCCACCAGCTCCTGCTCATTGACTCTGTGACCTTTTCCCTGTTGATGGATTCCACATGCCCCCTCACCTGTGGATATCAAATTACCCATCTGGGATTCCTCGTAGCTGGCTAAAATCATATCTTACATACATGCTTATCTCCCTTGGCTCTGCTTGCCTGGCAAATTCCAAATCTAGCTATATTGATCTCTTTCTGCTCCCTTCTGTCGTCACAGATAAACCTCAACTGAACTGATATAAGCAGATGCCCCTACAATAAATTCAAGTATACTCCAGGAACAATGACATTATCTGATTTAATAGCAAATAAAAGTATTTAAAATTAGAAGAGCTGGAAGAAAACTCCCTGTGTCCAAATATAGTATAGGTTTTTAGAACAAAACATTTTGTTCAAAAGTTCTGGTTCTTTCTTTATTCAGCAGTAAACATTCTGCCTTGTAACTGTCCTTAGGAAACCTTTGTAGCTTTTTTTTTTGTTGTTTCCTTGAAGTTTAGTTTGATAAATTGTCCAGCACATACAGGTTCCATCTCTAAAAATTAAATATACTTTCTGACGAAATCTGTTAGGATCATGTCTGTATTCACTGTAAGTTCCCATGGCAAGAAGATCTCCAAGTCTGCCCCGAAGCTGCCACACCCAGACATATAAGTTGTTTTCACATCTAAACTAAAGGAGACCTATCAAAGCACACATTATACTCAAAAGAAGAAAGCAGGACAGTGCACCTTACAATCAAACATAGTTGTATCTTTAAAAGATCTTGTTTACTAGGAACAAAGAAGTCAATTGTTACCAGAGCAGAAAATGTTTACAATGTCAGGACATAGTAGACATAAATTTGACAGCCCAGGATTCAGGATATGCCTGTGCACACACCCTACCATTAACACAACTATCACACACACACACACACACACACACACACACACACACACACACACACACTGAAAGGAGGGAGGAGATCAAGACAAAGAAAACATGAAAGCAAAAGCAACACCAGTAGCAAAAACTACATGGAAAAGAGAGGCTCCTTTTGTCCCTATCTTGCTCTTTGGTCACAATCAGAAGCTCTAAACCATTATCACTCAGTGGCATAGCACTTCGTTCCGATCAAAAATCATTCACTGGACAGGGAAATTAAGGAAATTAATATTTTATGAGTGGGATAGTTAGGTAGGCCCTGAAGAGTAATAGTTGCATTGCGATCAAGGTTACTTCCTTCCAAAGAAATGAAAGTCCGGAGGATGTGTGCATGGCAGTGTCCTCATGTATGACCAGCAAAACTTCTGCAGCTTCAGCATCAGGCAGCTTTGCTTGTTAGTTTGTCCCTGATAGACCTTAATGACTGAGTTCTCAGGACTCAAATATAGACTATGATGGTTAGTCCTTCCTCTTTTCATTTTTAGAATTTGTATCTTCCAGGATTTACCTAAATTAAGCAAAACCAAAACACAGCTAGGAAATTTTATTTCGTCAATGCTTTGAATATGTTTTAGGAATCATGAAAGCCAGAAGCAGATTTTTTTTTTTTCCGAGACAGGGTTTCTCTGTATAGCCCTGGCTGTCCTGGAACTCACTCTGTAGACCTGGCTGGCCTCGAACTCAGTAATCCGCCTGCCTCTGCAGATACATTTTTAAATTGTGCATTAAATGTTCCTTTAAGCACCAAGTACAATGCCATTGACTACAAGCTATTTGACCCAGTTTAATCCAGTCAGCCCTTTCCATGTCCACTTAGAATGGTAAAACCACGGCCCTCCTATTCACAGCGTTAGAACGTCACCTCTGGTATTTGTCCAAACTGTCTGAAGGGAGACCTTAGCTTAGTTTCGATATTTAGGTCAAAAGTAACTTCCAAGACAGATGTTTCCTGTCTGTTTTTTAAGTGATTTGTTCTCATTCATCAAAGCAAACAAACAAACAAACAAAAGAATCCACTGTTATCTAGTTAGTGAATTTTTGCATTATACACTTATATAGAGCCTAACACGTTATTACTTTTTTAAAGTGGGTTTCATATTTAAAAATACCTTTATCATTTAACGGTGGTAAAGTTAAATTGGTTATTTATCCTGGTCAGCTATCTTAAAACTCACTGAAACAAAAGCTGACAAGTGTCTGCCTCACTCTTAGATTTTTTTCTGGTATATTCTCTCACACACTCACTGTCTTAGTCAGGGTTTCTATTCCTGCACAAACATCCTAACCAAGAAGCAAGTTGGGGAGGAAAGAGTTTATTCAGCTTACACTTCCACATTGCTATTCATCACCAAAGGAAGTCAGGACTGAACTCAAGCATGTAAGGAAGCAGGGGTTGATGCAGAAACCATGGAGGGGAGTTACTTACTGGCTTGCTTCCCGTGGCTTGCTCAGCTTGCTTTCTTATAGAACCCAGGACTACCAGCCAAGGGATGGCACCACCCACAACAGGCCCTCTCAACCTTGATCACTAATTGAGAAAATGCTTTACAGCTGGATATCATGGAGGCATTTCCTCAAGGGAGGCTCCTTTCTCTGTGATACCTCCAGCTTGTGTCAAGTTGACACACAAAACCCACCAGTACACTCACATGTAAATATTTAATCCCCCAAGGGTTCAGAATGGTGGCCATTTCCCAAACTCTGAATTTCCTGACTACTGCATAAAACTCATTCTTCTGTCAGTTAGCACCTGAAACCCCCTAATCCCCCCAGTTCAGATGGACAACTGGCCACACTGTGCTGGAGAAGGAGTAAGGGAGCCCACCACAGGCACCTCTATGCCAGGCTTTCCCTCTTCTGCTCACTCAGGTCCCAGAAGGTTAAACGAAGTGGGAAAGAAACAACCCTTTTCCGCCGGGAAGCTGACTCTATTCAGACTTCCCATGTTTGTCTCCATCATTTAACAAACATATGCTTGACACAAATTCTGAAACAATTTGGATCATGTAATTAGGAAGCTGAATTTCTCAGAAAAAAAAGCAAATGGAAAAACCACCTTTCTTTGCTTGGACGAGTTTACATGGAGACTTCCTTCCATTGTGCCAGAGGCTCTCCAGACTTGCAGCTGTCCGGGCTCCTCGCTCTGTGCAAGGCGCTTCCGATCAGGTGCAGGGACCCAATCAAGTCCACAGAGGTCTGTTGCTCAATGCCTTAAACAATGATGAGTCTCCCCATTAAAACCCATTTGAAGTTCTAGTAACTTCTGTCCAGACTCTCCTCCTTTACATAATTATATTTTTTTATTGGCTATTTTATTTATTTACATTTCAAATGTTATGCCCTTTCCTGGTTTCCCCTCTGGAAACCCCCTATCCCATCTCCCCTCCCCCTGCTTCTATGAGGGTGCTTCCCCACCCACCCACCCCACCCACTCCTGCCTCCCCGCCCTGGCATTCCCCTACACTAGGGCATCAAGCCTTCAATGGACTAAGAGCCTCTTCTGCCATTGATGCCCGACAAGACCATCCTCTGCCACATTAGTGGCTAGAGCCATGGGTGGCTCCATGTGTACTCTTTGGTTGGCAGTTTAGTCCTTAG